AAGTATTAATCTAAATAATTAACATAAATATTAAATATAAATGTTGAATAAACATTGAAAAATATTTGTCGAATCATTTGCATATTGCAAATGAATAATTAATATAACATAAATATTTAAATGTGCTAACGTTATTCAAATTATTATTGCAAATACGATGCTTGATGATAAACCAACGTGAAGGATAAATAGGAAGTGCGTATTATTATCGGCGCTGTTATCGGTGCTCAAATAAATATTTAATGTAATTAATTAATAACAAAAAATATATAAAAAACGTTTCGGCTACTTTCTAGCCTTCTTCAGCGCTAATGTTCTTTTTAGTAAAAAAAGCATTTAACTCATGCAAAACGTTATAACATAAACAAGGTATTATCTACTTTATTGATCAATATTATAAAAAGTCGGTCATTTGCCGCTATCCATGTGTGAATTAAAAGATTCTATTCTTTCCATCCTAGAATCCAGTTCATCTTGGAAAATGGCAGTAGAAATAATTTCGTCGACACTACTATTATTAAAGAAAGAAATTTTATTAAATTTGACTTATATCATAAGCCAACGTTCTCCGGGAGATATCTCAATTTTTGGTCTCAACATCCTCTTTCACAAAAGAAAGGCAACATTCTCGGTTTAGTAGACAAAGTTTTTTTTTTAAATTCACAATAAAAATCGGTATTGTTGAATCGGTAGTGAGAATTTTATTGGAGAATGACTATCCTTTCCCGTTTATATTTAAGACAACACGCGGGAAAATTAAGATTCTTTTCAATAAAAAAACACATTAAATCAAACTTTTAATGTTTTGTTAAGCAAATCAAAAAAGAAAATCTCATAGTTTACGATCCTGTATGTTGAGTTAATTTTCAAGAAATTTTAAAACGTGAAAAATTCAGGCGTCAAGTTATCATTTTAGTTATAACAAATAATGTAAGTTTTATAAAAGTCTATAAAGATTCTCTCCTTCCCGGAAAAATGTAATAAGGTAATTGAACTCAATATAAGCTTATACGCAAAATGGCCAACTGACTGTTTGTAAGTATACACCAAAAATTTAATAAATAGCAATAGTAGGGCGTGCAAATGATTTGTGTGACTCGATTGCTATTTAATTAATCATGTAATTCATTTTGTTTGTGTCAATACAAGAAAATAAAAATGTCGTGGTGGCGATAAATTTTGTAGGCATGTAATTGCTTTGTATCATTACCAAAACATGGTTATAAAATTCTGTAGTTTACGTTATTATAGGTGCATTCATATTTTACAACATTATATTTAGTTTCTGTTTTTGTCACAAAGTTTTATTTATAATCAAAGAAAAGTAACACAGTGTAACTCTTTGTATGGTAGAACAAATAAGTATGGCCAGTGTTAGCTATTGAGTCTACTTTCCAGCGAACGTCGACTAACTGTAACATAATCTCAGATTTGATAACTTCAGTTATAATTTTCAATTTAAAACTTTCTAGAAAGAAAATAAAAAGTAAAATATTTGATTATGTTTTTTATTCGACAAGATATCTGAGAAAAATAAATTTTTTTCTTGTATGTAGCAAAATAAGTGCAGTAAATTTTTTTCTTGTATGTAGCAAAATAAGTGCAGTAAATTTATAAACTTATAAAAATAATGTTATCTCACTTTATTTTCTGTATTTTTAACATTTTATTATAAAAAAGAGAGAACATATACGAACATACACGATCATATTGGGTACACATGTATCCTATTGCAGTGCATGCACGAAATGCCACTTTTAAAAAAAATCTTTACTGCACTTATAGAAATACTTAAAATGTTTTATATTTTTTATTAACGTTTAGAAATGTTTTCCCTTAAGAATATGACCACTAATTTTTTATTTTGGATTCAGTAAAAAATTAGAAAAATTTGCAAAGCTTAATAGGAGCACAGGGTCCGGTATAAAACCTTACCTTATACAAAATTTCCAGCGATGATTGCGATGAAACGTATGTTGGACAGACAATTAAAAACGTCCAGAATTACGGAATACAAGAATTAAATCAAGAGAAATACTTCTATTCGATCGGTTATTACTGACCATGCATCATAGTCACACTTTGAATCGTGAACATATAAAAATTCTGGATGTTGAACGCAATTACTACAAGCGCGGTTAATTTTTGAGATGATAAATATCAAGCGACAAAATAATGGTATAAATTTTAAAAATAAATTTAAATACAGACACAGAGAAGCTCGGTTCGGTTTGCCATGTTTTTTTGTAATGTTATACGAGATCTGTTCAAAAAGTATCGCAAATTTTGAATTTCTGCGGGTTACGTATATTCGATTTTCGATTTTTTTGTGGCGTTATGTTGGTACTCATGTCTCTCACTTATGCCGACAAGTTTTTGAATGTTCAGTTAATTTTTGACAGCTGCTTTGCTTGCACGTGTTTTGGCTCGTCTTCGATTTTTGTCTATTCCAAAAAATGGATCAAAGAATCTGTATCAAATTTTGTGTGAAAAACAAAATGAAGTGCGCGGACGCATTCCGAATGTTGACTGTGGCATATGGTGAAGCTACCTTGGACCGAAGCAGTTTATCGGTGGTACAAAATGTTCTCAGAGGGCCGAGAAGATGTGAACGACGAAGAGCGTGCCGGAGGCCCGAACACGTCAACAACGAAAACAGACGAAAACATTGATGAAGTGAAGAAAATAGTATTGGCCAATCGTCGAATCACCGTTAGAGAAGTTGCTGAGGACCTAAACATATCGATTGATTCATGCCATTCGATTTTTACCAATGATTTGGGC